TGCTCCCAGTCATTCCCTTCGCCACAGCTTTCCACAATCTAATTCGACACACAAAATGCCACCCCTTCGCCAATTCCTCGGACGTTCGGTGTCAAACGGACGCTCTGGATCCCTAGAAAAAAACACTTTCCTAGCATTTTCCACCACTAACCAGCCTCCCAAAAAGCATCTGAAACCACCCCTTCGCCACGGCTTTAACCCATTGAGTTCTGCTCCAAACGAGCCCCAATTCCTCGGACGTTCGGTGTCAAACGGACGCTCTGGATCCCTAGAAAAAAAACAATTTGCTAGCATTTTCCACCACTAACCAGCCTCCCAAAAAGCTTCCACCAACAGCCTGCCAAAAGCTTTCCAGCCTCCCAAAAGCATCTGAAACCACCCCTTCGCCACGGCTTTAACCCATTGAGTTCTGCTCCAAACGATTGAGTTCTGGCGGATCTATCATTATTCCCTGGCGCGCTCCCCCTTGCGTCGGCCGGGGTCGGCGGATTACATAATTATCGTATTATAAGCCAGTGGAGAGCGCCACAAGAAACCGCATCGAGGACCTGGCTGTCCGAGCCAAGATCTTTGCCTGCAGCGCCGTGTGCGGATGCCGATCCAAAGCACGACTCGATTACGATCCAAACTTGCAAAGCGGACACAAAACTTGGTTCCAAAGCTCAAGCAGCTGAAAACGCATGGGAGACAACGAAAGTAAGACTCGATTAGATAGTACGCAGCTTTCACTTCGACAAAGCCTCTGACTTGTGGAAACTGGGAGGACCAAGTTGGGCAAGGACACGCTGTGGCGCAAAATCTGGTCTGACATGGCCTCAGTTCCGGCATGAAATTTCCCTACACGGACTGCCTGGGTTCGAGGCAGTTGGTGGTGAAGCTTCCATGATTGAAGACCTCGGTGAGGGCCCGGACAATGCTGAGCGATATCGCAAGACAGTAGTAGCCTGAGTTGGAAGTGGGTATGGTTGGGTCACGGGCATAAACCCATGAGCAGAGTTTGTTCATTTCTCTGTATCAGTGTGCACTTGTGCACGGTACTGTACCACTTTTTCGAGCCAGAGGCGGATCTTGTTTGTATACTCCAAAACCTTGCCTAAGGAGTTCGCGGTGAGCGAATCCCCGTCGAATGGATGATGGGACTACAGCTCTGTTGCGGTTTGTCACAAGAAAAGCCAGAGGAGCATTTGTTGTTGAGGCTTCATTGCACATGAAACGAATTATGGCCAAGAGGAATGACAACTACATTGCTCAAAGGGGTTGATTTTTTAACGGAATGAGATTACTGGTGGCTGGAACAGACTTGTTAATTTCGGGCAGCGCAGGAAGCATGTCTTTGATGGACCGATACATATGAAATATGTATATACTACAACATATTATTGCCTCCTTCAGTCCTTCAGTTGCAGGTCTTCTGAAAGCGCCTTTATGCTTTGTATCCTCGGTTCACAAGCTGAAAAGCATGTAAATTGGTGGACAAAAGGCCACACCTAAGCATTTGGATGTTTTACACTATACTTGATTTGCAAAGAACAAGCTAGCGTGCTTTTGACTAGTCACTCTTCGTAGCCAAAAAACTGTTTGATCGGACACTTCACAATTCTTGTCACGTTCTAATCTGAATGCAAAACCATTTTGAGCTTCTCGAAGCAAGCACTCACACTGATTTCCCAAGCAGAAAATTGCTTCAAATCGTAATGTGTGATTGGCCAAACGCTTAGTGCGTGCATTTGCAATGCAGATCAGCCCCATATCAGTGCCCAGGAGCCTGGGGTTGGAAAGGAGTATTTATTTGAGGGAGACTGCGTTCGTAGCAAACCTGTGGTTTGACTTATCGTTGGCCACTAGAGAATTCGACAGAACGAGCAAGCCTTCAATGCAATCTCTTGCTGAACTTTTGGGCTGACCTATTTATCATCTCCATGGTGTTTATGGCCTCTCATCTATGTGTGAGGGCTAGCGGGTGCATCAGGAAGTTTAAAGAGGGAGTTTCACAGTTCAGTGGAAGAGGCAGGCCAGACTGAGATGCTACTAGACCGGTCAGTCCTTGCATCAGAAACAAGCATATGGGTCCACCGTTTGCCAAAGTTCAGTTGACGGTTCAACTCAAGCGGTGCAACTTCGCAATTGCACTGACTGAAGAAAAGCTTTTCTTTCCCGGTGGTTTGTTAATGGCTTCACCACATCAAAGACCAACGGAAAGCTCCTAGAATTCCAACCCAATTGAACGAATCCTCGGTTTGGTTGCTCCGATGGGCCGCACTGCAGAAGCTCTCCGAGCACGCGGCCGGTTGCACGCACGGTTGCCTTGGCGAGCGCTGGTCAGCGGCAAGGCGCAGCTAGAGTGACGGGAGTTGTTTCGTCGAAAGCGCCATAATGGTCAGACTGCTGCCAATTGGGTGCAGCCTAGCAAACCTATGTGTCAGGAACGGGCTAAGGTATCTGAGATCGACTAGTTTGTTGTTGAAGGAACTAGTATATAAACACGTGCTGCGATTCACGTCCCACAGGCCCAAGAGCCCCAAACCGTAGCTACAATTCTGTAGCAGACTAGCAGTCCGCAGGCCCAAGAGCCTCCAGCCGGATTGGAAGAGCCCAGGCATGGGTTCGTTGGGTCCTTGAGAAGTAGCAAAATTCCAAAAGGTTTCATTGGGCAGTGAGCAGTTCCACAAGACTCTGAAGAAGTTGTTTCCCTGTGTTTGGACATGTCCAGGCAATTGGCTGGACGCTGCTGAGAGTTGCTCTTCGACGACGGAGAGTTGGCTCCTCGGCGGGTTGTTGTTCTAAGCCAAAAAAGAGACCAGGGCTCCAAAGTTGCAGCCCATTTTGCTGGGCTTCCCTGAATTTTCTTAAACTCTAGAAGGCGGACGTGTGTTTGCACGAGGTAAAGCAGGTGACGATTCAGCAGCATGCATCGGGAAATTGTCATTCTGCTGCAGTTTTTAGACTCCACTCACCATTGCGTTGCGTGCAGCAAAGTACACCATACTTTTGTTGGAATCATGGCTCGTTCTTCGTGGAAGGTTTTGAGCATGGTTGCTGCGTTGGTTGCTTTGTACAACATTTGCAACAGCTGGAGTTTTGTGCCTGGGCCATTGAGAAAACATGCGCCTGTGGCAGCTGCATCTGCAGCCGGCATGATGATGGCTCCAGCTGCCTTTGCCGATGAGATTGGTGATGCTGCCAAGAAACTTGGCGATGCCTCGTATGACTTTGCCAAGGAGG